GTAACCTATGGAATATCATTTCTTTGTTTCTAGGAGGGCAGGAAAACCGTACTGAGACCTCCTTCGAGGGTATTCAGCACGAGTTTTATAAGATGAGATGGTGCGCCTCCAGCGCAGAGGCGTAGACGTTGCGACATTCTAGCGATTCTACCCGGCGCCAAGTCGAAAATGCTCCGGCTCTGAGATAGGGAACAGAATGGCTTGGATCGAAAAACATTTTTTGCAGAAAAAAATTGCATTTGAGTGAATGATGACAATTGTTCAACAGTCCAAACGCATTCAAATAACCATATGGCTCTTAATCAGGTGCGCGATACTGATTATAGAAGTTACGTGTTTGTTTTACCGTGTGTTTACCAAATTCAAAAGAAATGAAAATGACAATTCAACATACATTTAAAAGTCGCGCTTCACAGAGAGGAGCTCTGACAAGAGTTAGCCGCAATTTGCTGGGATCTTCTCCGTCATAGATATCAAGTTGCATAAGCTCTCGTATACCAGGCACGATATGATCACCAAAAGCATATCCAACTTCGATCTGGAATTACAATGCTTATTAGAGCCTCTGGTAGAGGCTTTTCTACGTACATACGTTTAAAGGCACGGTCCGCGATCAGGTATCGAAGTTGAAAATATGGCGTCAGGAGGTTAGAGTGGTCCGCGACGAACAACCTTGTACCGGTTTCGCGGCAAAAAATTCTATGGGAGGGGCGCTGTAGCGCAATATAGGTTCAGTGGCTCCTCCTTTTTTCCAGTGACTCCGCCTCCAGACTCCGCCCCTAATGACCGACTTCCAGTGAAAAATGAGATTGCAGGACGAAAAAGCATGATAATCGCCACTTGTACGATCGTAGAAATCTTATCGGTGAATCAGCCGTGCATATGAGGGCGTAGTTTTGGAGATAGAGTTGATTGGGCACGTACAAACTGGGATCGAAATGGGGTTCTATCTAGGGCAGGTGGCATGTTTTTGTGCTTTTTTTGTTCACAATCGAGTTGCTCAACCCCTTGTCGTCTATATGGAACCCCTAATCCACCATCTGAGATGGCGAGTATATCGCGGGGTGTCTTCCTTAAGTGCGAAGGCCAAGCCCTGTTCAAGAAAAATGCTTACGACGCCCAAGTAGGCCATGCTTTGGCGCGGTCCCTAGATTTCTATGGCTTCTGGGCCTTTTCGCTGTGATCCCTCAAAAAGGGGATTTTGGAAGTTATCGGTTAGTAAAACAGAACTGAACACAACGTAGTTATGGAACACATCATTGACCGATAAGCGGCAGCATGAAGTTAATAAGCAACAGCATGAAACCTCATAAGCAACACATGAAATTAAGTTTAGAAAAATGAAGTAAGAGGGAGGAGCGGTGGAGGGGAACGGCAACGAGGAGGCACTTGGTGGACACTTGGTGGTGCAGAGCAGTGGCCCACCAACACTGCAAATCGCGAAAGCTCCTATCATCGCCCCTTCCTCGTACGTATTGTCAGTGTGCTACACCAGCGCCAGAGTGCTGGACGTGCTTGGGACGTACGTAGGTACTGCGACCTCCCCCCCCGCTCGACAGCAAAATTTTGTAAAAAAAAACCAGAAATTTTTGGGAAAAAATAGACAAAGTGGTAGGAGGTTGGAAAAATCTAGGGAAGAGGTAACATGGGGAGGGGGGGTCGTACTTGAAGATGGAATTAGGGGGGTCGTATTTTTCAGGAAAAAATGACAGAAATGATCACAACGCAATGGCGTGCCCTCTCCGGATACTGTCTTAGTAGGTCGGTCAACTCCTGCAAGGTCCATCTAGTAATTGTGGGCCGAACGTTGTGGGCAATGTGTAGGGGTAAAGGGGAGAAGGGGGGGGGGGAAGGAGTAGTTGCGTTGTGAGTTATTTTGAACTCTACACATCATCAAAGGAGATTGTGTCTTTGAGTTAATCGATACTCGTTTAGAGTGCACTTAGACTGCGCTTTTGAAATATCCACGGATAAAGTTGATGCGAATCGCATCCAGTTTGTCAAAAGGCAGACCTATTTGTCGGGCTACATCTAGAAAAAAAGGATTGATTGAATTTTAACAAGGCAACCTTATAATATTCAATCACACTTGCTGAAGTGCTATAATGAACATCAATTACAACAACATTCACCGCCGTCTGTTGGAATGATCATGCCATGTACAAAAACGAATCCAAGAGTATTGGTATCGTCACTACACACATTGTCGTCTGTGTCGAAACATAATCGTACCCTAAATTGCAACAAATGTAAATAAAAACAAGGAATCAATTGGCGGAATATACAAAAACCAGACAGTTTGACAAAAATTCACTTTCTGGATGTATAGCATGTAAAGATGTATAGCTAAGATGTATAGCTTGTAAATATTAGGTTGGCGAGAAAGTTCTGTCATATTTTTTAAAATCGAACTTTCTTGTGAGTTAGTTATGTTACTGTGGAGTTCTTGCCAGTTTTTGAGCACCTCATGGATGCCATCGCTTCACAATGCAGGCCGGCGCGACGCAAAGTTGGACATCATCTCAATTTTGACGTGGGCTCGGGTCGTGGAGGTTTTCTCGTTCATATAACGATTAAGTACGGGAGGAAGCTGCCGCTTAGAAGGAGCAATGTCTGGGCTACTTCTTTGCAAGGGGAGAGCCATCCAGCTCTACTGCATGAGATTTAGCTCGAACGTTTCCGGATGGAGTAGGCTGCACTGACACGTTGAAGATGACCGTGCGGACAAATTTTTCCCTCTGATTCGCTTCAGATCTCGTAGCTGCTTTGCGTACGCATTGACCGAGGAAGCAGCTTCTTCATCCAGCAGTTTCACGACCCGCAGCTCCCTCAAGCTGAGTTCACAGGTACACCCAAACCTCACTTCGTCATCAAACTGTAAGCTCCCGCTCTGAAGCATTAGCGTCGTGGAAGGTTGTCCGATAGTTGAGGGCAGCGTACTTAAAGGCAGTTGGCACGATGGTTTCCCACTCGGCCTAAAATGCTAGTAGGGCGCTATGTAGTGGGGAAATGGCGAAAGAACGGAGTGAAACGGTCAAAATCCGGCGAAGAAAAAGCCTCCGTTCTCCCTATACAACGTCCGTGAACAACTATCAAATAAAATCTTTCCAGCCCAAATACGACTCCCCCCTATTAGGGATTCTCCAGCAACGATGTGCCCTGGGATAGGGTGGAGGGGGGGTATCGCGGGACCCGTCATTCTGCTCCCTCTGCTTCCTTCCCGTGCACGTGCTCAGTCAGACCTGAGCACCTACAGGGAGGGAGGCAGGGGAAGGGTGCGGTGTGCGCGAGTAGGGGGAGAGTGCTTAGCGTACGCTTGAGTAGGAGCACGCAGTAAGGCAAGGGCGCTAGCAAAAGGGTGGGATGCAATGGGAGGGAATAGCCTCTCCCCTGCTCCCAACCCCTGTACACACCCGGACCTGAGAACATGCAGATAGGGAGACCGATGGGAAGGTGTCTGGTGAAGGGGGTACGGTTAAGGGGTGCATACACGCTTGAGTCGGAGCATGCAGCAAGCTGCTCGCGTGGCAGCTGGGCGTGAGCTCTTGCGTGGGTTGCTCCATCTGCTACGATTCGATCAAAACAGCGCAGTATGAGCAGCATAAGTGAAAGAACAAATTCCGTGCTCATTATGAAGTGCGCCTATCGAAGCCAAGCCAGCTAATGAGAAGGTGGAGAGCTCAGCGTCAGCCGGGCGACGGGTGTAACAATAAAGTAGTAGTTCGCCGTGCTGGCAGGGGCGCGTGCTTCTGCGGGCTTGCAAATGACGGTTTGCAGGGGGAAGCTGGACGATGTTCAGGCGAAAATAGTCATGCCCTACGATGTCGTACCCTACATGAAGTCCGTG